GGGGCACGACGTCACAATTTTAAAAATAAATATAAAATACAGTGGTGGTTTTGCGCGCTCGGCCATTTGCGCTCCAGCCGGCTCGACAGCTCCTCCGGGTAATGCACACAGCTGCCAAGGGGGGAAAGCTTTTTTTTGTTTTTTTGTTTACCTTGGTGAGCTGTAAGACCTTTTTGCACATTTTCACGTGCACCTGCTGCTTGCCATCTTCTGACGTGCTGCCTGGTGGGGTCTCTCGAGAAGCCCCATTGCAAGTCCCGGGCTGGTGGAGAGGAGAGGAGGAGCTGTACCGCCCCCCCGAGAACGCCCTGCCGCCTGCCCAAAGTTCCGGCCACCCAGCAGGGCTCGTGGCTCCGAGGCACCACCGGCTCAGGCTGGTGGAAAAGATCTCGGGGTCGTAGTGGATAGCTCAATGAAAGTGTCAAGCCAGTATGCTGCAGCAGTAAAAAGGCAAAACTCTATGTTAGGGATTATTAGGGAAGGGACTGAGAGTAAAAGGGCCAATATTGTAATGCCCCTGTACAGATCTATGGTGCAGCCTCGTTTGGAACACTGTGTACAGTTCTGGTCACCGTATTGCCAAAAGGGCACTGCAGAGCTGGAAAAGGTACAGAGGAGGATGACCAGGATGATGAGGGGGTTGGGAGCACCGTCCCTATGAGGAACGGCTGAAGAGTCTGGGACCGGGGTGTCGAACTCATTTGTTATGACGGCCGGATCTGACATAAATGAGGCCTTGTTGGGCCGGGCCATGTGTGTCATAAAATGTAATGCCAGGTAGCGGAGAGATAAACTTTATAAAGGACACAAACACAAAGACTGTTTTTTTAACTTAAAATAAGAACATGCTTAATACACTAGCACTCTTGCAATATTTTGTTTATTTAACAGTGTCTGATAACTGACACCTCTTGCTCTGAATTATTGCATCAAAATGTCTGTGCTGTTGCTATTTTGACTATGCTGTTCAGGTGTGTGTCTGTAAGGTGCAAACCTACTTTTGATTTATTGACCTTCACCACAGAAATCTCATGCTCAGAGTTCTGAGTCTAGGACCGAGGTTAAAACATGAAATGGCTGAGCGATTGAGAGAGTCTGGCGAAGCAAGCGATGATGCCGCAGCAGCAGCAGAACTGGAAGCAGTAGATGACCAGTTCCACCGTGGGCCTGATATTCGTAAGGCTTCCAGATGGAAACTGAGCACCTTCAGCATGCCTAAGCAGCTGTACTCTATACAGGATGAAGGAAGAGGAAAGCATTACTAGGGAGCAGGCAGATATCCTTAGATTCTGCATTCTCTTTGCTGAGATGTTTGTTAGACAAGGCACTTTTATACAAGGTAGATTATGGCCACCAAGCAGAATGCTGCTTGAAAGATGAGTCACATAGGAGGCAGCTGGCTTTTCGTTGAAGATTCTGTTGCAGCCACTCATGCTGCTGAGAAGACAGGTGTCTCCTCTTCAGCACTGCAAGTGGCTACTGTGAAACCTTCAAAGAAACAGTCTTTTCAGCATTTTCTATATTTGTTAGGGTCTCCTTCAGGTAATTAGCATGGAGTCAGGTCATGGATTTTGAGAGTAAGATGTTAGCCAAATTGCTCTTTTTCTTTAATAAAAGATTGGGGATTTATGATATTAATATGCAATTGGCATAACTATAGGATCAGACCTGTGTATGCCAGAGTTAGAATTCCCAAGAATAGACAAAGAGTCTGGGTGGGTAAAATAAGGATTTCTTTACTAAATATTCTCAAGCACACAAACAGTAATTAAACATTCATGCACACAATACAGACTTAAGGAAGCAGAGGTGATTGATAGCTAATGGAGGGGTTGTGGGGTGATACTACCTGTCCAGATGTGCAGAGGTCCATGAAGAAAGGGTTGTGGCCCAAAACCCAGAGGGTTTCGGGGTGGACTGCCAGTTGGCATCAGGGCAGAAGCTGGGATATAGGCATTGAAAAACAATGCAGACCAATGGAAGGTCTTTGGGGCTGGTATCAGGCGAGAACAAAAGATTACCTGGGCCAATCCGGGGTCCCAGGGGTGTGTGACATCAGGATGGGCAAGGCCTGGATGTGACCAATGAAGTTCCAGAGAGGCAAGGTCAGGCTATGCTGAGATTTGACAGTATCTTGATTGGATTAGCTAGGTGCTGGGTGGCTATTTGAATGAGTTTTCTGACCACTAATGGGCCTGCCAGGGTAATTTGAAAAGGATCCCAAGTATAGACAAAAGGTGGGAGATGAGTCTCTGATTAGCGTCAGGAAGGATTGCTAAACATTTGAATGCTTGATTGGTTTATCCCAGTATCCTGAGGGACAGAGCAGGAAAGACAAGTATTCAGACAAAGAATGACTGGAGACAGAGTTATTTGCCAGGTGGCCCCTGAATAGACTTTAGAAATGTAGATGCTTCACCTGGTGGAACTCATTGTCATTCCATAAGCATAATCTCTCTGCTGGGTGGAGGGGGAAGACTGGAGGCCTGCTCTGAGGTCACCTTATTAAACCTGAAAGTGGAGAGCCCCCTTTTCAGAGCTGTGGCTAGCTCTGTGTTTCAGAACCAGGAGTGCCTTCCTTGGCCTGGGTTTTGTGGGTCTCTGGGTCAGGTTAGAAGTGGGGTACCCCTGCTATTGGGGCTACCCAAGAGTAAAAGGCAGCGCCTCTAGCAACAAAGAGACTACAGAGGAATTTTAGATGAGCTTTCAAGGGAAGTTGAACTTGCACAGAGTATGCATGTTAAATCTTCAACTTTTGTGCTCTGGTGAATTAAAAGGAGTCATTGCTTGCTTGCTAGCTATGTAGTTTCCCATAGATTCACCCTAGGTGTGCCCCATCTCAGCAGGATTCACAGCAGGATTGTCCTCTTTCGGTGGTAAACACAAAGTTGTGGCTGTCAAATAATACATTTCTGAGCAGAGGAAACCTGCATTAGACTGTGTACATCATCCTTTTCAAGTCCTCATTTCCTCACTTAAAACATATTTGAGGGGTATACCTAAAATAAAGCCCCCATAGAATCTTCCCCTTTCTTGCATCCTTTTCCCACCAGCCAGCCAACCTTCCACTGTCTTCCACCATCTTAAGCTTCCCCTCCTTCCCTCCACCTGAAAGCCTTTATCTGTGAAATCTGTGGCCCACTTGCACGGTGTTGTCTGCTAGACTGAGCCCATTTGCTTGGTGCCAAACCCACAAGCACTTGTGGGGGACACCTCATTTCCCCCTTTATCCCCTTCCTCACACTGTTTCCTTTTGTCATTCTCCTGACAACCTCCATAGCCTTGCCTTTCCCTGCTTCCTTCTCTCCATCCCACTTACCAACCTACCTTTTATCAGTTTCCCATCTTCAGCTACATTTATTATTTACTTAATTAATAATCCATCTTTCTCCACAGGGCCTGGCGCGAGTGGGGAAGGGGCACGAGGGGGCGTCGGGAGGACATGCCCCCCTCCCCAGGGTTGAGGGATAGAGGCCCGCCAGCTCGGCGCGACTGGGGGTGCCAGCAGGGGTCCGGCTGGAGGCAGAAAAGTTCTGGGAAGCTCCACACCGAAGCCCACAACAACTCAGAGAGCTGCGCTCGGCTCCGAAGCCCATCTCTCCTGCATGTCGGGGAAGCGGCTTGGCACAGTGTTGGCTCCTTCCTCTCCTTGCAGGCCGGTTGGAGAGGCACCATTGCCACCAAGTCTGATGGGCAGCAGGAGGAGGGGGCTTTTTTGGGGGGAGACACAGTTCGGCGTGGCGCCCCCATCCAGGGCCCAGCGCTCTAGGTGAATGCCTAGTTCGCCTAGTGGGTGAGCCAGCCCTGGTAGCAAGCACCCAGTTTTGGGTGAGTCATGCAAATTAAGAACATAAGAACATAAGAGACGCCAATGTTGGATCAGGCCAAAGGCCCATCCTGTCCAACACTCTGTCACACAGTGGCCAAAAATACCAGGTGCCATCAGGAGGTCCACCAGTGGGGCCAGGACATTAGAAGCCCTCCCACTGTTGAACCCCCAAGCACCAAGAAGACAGAGCATCACTTGCCCCAGAGCCCCTATCTATACCTTGTGGCTAATAGCCACTGATGGACCTCTGCTCCATATGCTTATCTAATTCCCTTTTGAAGCCATCCATGCTTGTAGCCGCCACCATTTCCTGTGGCAGTAAATTCCATGTGTTAATCACTCTTTGGGTGAAGAAGTACTTCCTTTTATCCGTTCTAACCTGACCGCTCAGCAGTTTTCATGGAGTGCCCACAAGGAGTTCTTGTATTGTGAGAAAGGGAGAAAAGTACCTCTTTCTCTACCTGCTCTTTCCCATGCATAATCTTGTAAACCTCGATCATGTCACCCCTCAGTCCTCGTTTCTCCAAGCTAAAGAGCCCTAAGCGCTTTAACCTTTCCTCATAGGGAAAGTGTTCCCATGAACACTTCAGCCTCTATGAAATTTTTAAAAAGCCATCACTATCCAAGGCCTAAAGATAGATGGTCTGTGTGCTTCTGATTGATTTGGCAGAGCAGGGTGTAGGAAGATGTATTAGAATGTTGATGTACTGCTAGATTGTGTGTCAGTATATGAAAGTGGTGTCTGAATGGCGGTAGGAAAAGAGGAAGACTTAATGTGAGATGGATCGACTTAGTCAAGTGAGCCACAAAGGCCTTCGGTTTGCAAGACCTGAGCCAGGCTGTCAGTGATGGGAAGTTCTGAAGGTCCCTTAATTCATAGGGTCACCATGAGTTGGAAGCGCCATGATGGCACAGAACACACACACACACATCGGGATGGGGTTCATGAGTGCTGCAGATGACGAGTAGGAACAGAGGCTTGTATGAAGAGAGGGAGGGGACAGAGAAGAAGGCATTGCACACAAACACATACATGTTAAAAGTGTTAGTCTCTCTTCTTGGTTATTCTACACACCACAAAACCTATTTAGACCCATCAGAATTTGTTGGGTAATGTAATTCTTGTTGTTGTTCCTAGGAGTTGATTTTAAAATGAAGACCATAGACGTAGATGGGATTAAGGTCCGAATACAGATCTGGTAAGTGATGCAGGTACTTTGACACAGAACAAAGTAAGTTCTTTGAGGAAAATCGGACTGAGTGTTGAAGACCATGGGTTCATTCTATGACCTTCGGCATGTTGTAGGCTCTTAGCCCCTCAGTAAAACAGGGATGGCGATGACCAAGTCATAGGGTGGCTGTGAATCCACAGATTGGAAAACACTGCTAATTAAAAGTGCTTTGTAAGTAATCAATAGTGGCAGTGGATCTGACCATATATATTTAACACCTATAAAAGATGTCCAGTGGTATTAGATGGGAGGGGGGGTCACTCACATTCCTGGATAATGGGCAGGATGTTGCCGCTTGTGTGCAGGGTATTATTGGAACTCCTACATGTGGATACCAACTATCATTTCTAAGAATGGATTAAGGGCTCACATTTCCAGACTTTATTAGGGGTTTTCCAGACAATGATTAAAACACACACATTTCCCCTTTAGTACTAGAGCAGTGGTATAATCGAAGTGGGCGTCCCAGTGACCTTGCACTAAAGGGGATTGCTGTTTTGCCACTCTTTTAAATTAGGGATGGTGTGCTCTGAAGCAGTGCAAACCTCATACTTCAATAGAAAACATAATGTAGATATCTATCAGGAAGCTTATATAGAAGATTAGGAGTATTAGTTACAAACTCAAAATAAAAGAACCATCTGTTTAAAAATTTATTAGATAAAGTAGGAGAATAAGCTGTCAATATCTGCGTCGCTATTTTGTCTGCTGCTGCTAAATCCCAACACTTGGAAACCCATTGTTTTATAGAGGGTACTTTGATTTGATTCCAATTTTGGGCTATCAGAGTTTTTGCTGCTGATAATAGAATTGTAGTCAATTCTCTTTTTTCTTTAGTTAATGATAAATCCATCTTTAAAAAACATTGGGGGGGGGGAGAAAGTCCCTAGTACAATTGAATTCAGAGGGCTATCAGAGTTTTTGCTGCTGATAATAGAATTGTAGTCAATTCTCTTTTTTCTTTAGTTAATGATAAATCCATCTTTAAAAAACATTGGGAGGGGGGAGAAAGTCCCTAGATACAATTGAATTCAGAGGAGTAAAGCTACACATGTCCAGTAGGGGGCAGCCAGCTTACATGCTTGCACATTCTCCAAAGCTGAAGCACTCCCGTGTGCTTTTGGATACATCGCAAGCGAATCACCTTGTAACAATGTTAGTGGTGGGTAAAGAAGCAAGTCCGCCGTAGCAGCCAGGTAGACATACTCTGTGATGACTTGACTGATGGGATAGCATAAGTCTGTTTGGAGTTCTTCTGCACCTCACTGTGCTCCAACACTGCACCAATTCCTGGGAGGATAGTAGAACATGTGTGTTTTGTATCTAATGGTGAAGCAGGGAATTCATACAATTGTTGAAACAGCTGCTGATTATTTTGGAGGCTACTCACTTCACGCAGCTTATTTGTCCATGTGACCCAAGCTCATGAGGACAAAAAAAAAAAAGCACTGTGTGAACTGGCTCTCAGTCTGCCTTTGTGCTGCAGGCAACTTGGCGAGGTGGCCCTTTTTGGCCCATATAGGTGCAATGCTCAATAAAAAAGGGTCAGTGTACACACATTTCTACTATTCTGCTTTCCAGTCTTAGCCCCTCCTGTAAAACACTTTTCTTGGGGGGCATTTTAGTTGCAGAGTAAGTTAACATAAAATTAAATGCCTACAATTCCACTTAATTTTCGGAATGAACATAGGTTTTCCTAGTACAGAATTTGAAGGGGTGGTAGCGCAGCCTTCACACAGACTTTCATATGACTTCTAGCTTGCTACTTCCATAATGAATCCTCCACTCTGTCTGTGGGAGTACAAATACAACTGCAGTCCAAAGTGCTAAAGTATAAACCCAACTGAACTCAGGAGGACTTACTTCTGAGTAGATTAGGACTGCACTGCACATCCCTTGGAACTCTTCACACCAACTTAGATACTTAGCTACTCAGATGTTGGTCAGGAGTTATATGTGATGGTCTAGAACAGGGGTGGCCAAACTTGTTTAATGTAAGAGCCACGTAGAATAAATGTCAGATGTTTGAGACCCACAAGACATAAATAAATATTGCACACATTTTTATTGAAAAATATGCATATTTGCATTTTATTAACATTAAATGAGACTGCCAAAAATAAAACAAAAAGGGTAAGACAGATATTGATAATGATACTTATTTGTTTGCTCATGGTATTTATTTGTCTAAGAGAGAGAGAGAGGTAGAAAGAAAGAATGAAAGAGGTAGAAAGAGAGAGAGAGAAACAAAGAAAGCAAATAGATGGGGGAGGGAGGGGAGAGGAAGGAAAGAAGAAAGAGGAAGGAAGGAAGGGAGAGAGAGAGAGGCAAAGAAAGGTGGAAGGAAAGATAATGGAAGGAAAGTAAATAGATGGGGGGGAGGTGGAAAGAAAGCAACTTTAACTTTAAATGTGTCTTCTAACCCCCTTACGCCCCCATGCTGGCTGGCTTGGCAAAGGGATTTCAAGAGACAAATGCCTTCTCCATGCCAGCCCAGGGGGGGGGGGGTTTTGAGAACAAATTTAGAGTTGCTTTCTTTCACTGCTCCCCTCCCCTGCCTCAAGCCTACCCAGGGAGGGGGACACGCCTCCCCTTCGCTTCCCCAGCCGCCCTGCCGCGAGCTGCACACACTATGTGTGAAAGAGCCGCATGTGGTGCCGCAGTTTGGCCACCCCTGGTCTAGACATCTAGTGCCTTCCAGTATATCTAGGGAAGCCAGTTGGGGAAGAGAAGACTGAGCTCTTCCGCCAAGCGTTCAAGGGCCCGTATTACAGAACTAAGCCTTAAGGAGCCAGATACCAGCGGCCAGTTTCCCCTATGGTGGCTGATAGGACAGTCCTTGCCATCTTATATATGTTGTACCTCTAAATGATTTGATGTTTTTAAATTAGGTTGTTTAAATTGTTTTTATTGTTTTATGAGGCCAGTGGCCTTGTTAGCCGCCCTGAGCCTGCTTCTGCGGGGAGGGCGGGGTATAAATCAAATAAATAAATAGAGAAGGATACAGGAACAGAGACTTTTCAGTTTACAAATTAAAGTTTTACTGCTAGTTATCAGCATCTCACTGTAGAGGCTGTTGGTCAATAAGATGTTTATCGGTCTTTCTGCAAAAGCTATTTTCAGGTTCTTCAAAAGCCCCCCCCCCCCCGTGTCTGAAGCAGAGCTAGTCTGAGCACAGACGCACCCGGACATGGAGACTCGCGGCTCCCCCGCGCCCCATGCAGCTGGAGCCCGACTCCCGCCTTCACCACCCACTTGACAGATGCACTGAGATCAGCTAATTGAACACCAATCTGGTGCTTCATTTTCCCGTCTCCTCCCACTTCGGTCATGCTGCCTGCTTTGCTGAACCTTTTAAAAGCACAACTTAAAATGTTTGTTTGCTTGATTGTTCATTTTGCACCTCAATAATCAGAAACACACAATGTTTTAGAAGTTAAAAAAGGTGCTCTGTAGAGCGGGGGAGGGAGTGACCTGCCGGTTTTCGCAGAGGACGGCTGTGCTGTTCAGTGCCCCCCACAGCTGGCTGGCTTCTGCAGAAATACAGACTTCTGGCATCCCTGAGAGGTTGACCTTGAAGGGAAAGCAGCATGTGTGTGCAGAGTGAGCACATTTTCCCAGTGGGGTTGACACCCTGGTGGTTATGCCACCTAATTTACTTGAGTGATCGGGGTGGGGTGGGGGGGATTAGCTACCACAGCCTTGGTTTGGCCTCGACATTGAACTTAGGATTGTTGTTCTGGAAATCTGCAGTAGATCCATGCACAGTGGTATCCATATGAGTGGTTGAGTTTGAGGCTTCTTGTCAGTGAGTCCCAGAGAAGACCCTGTCAGCTGTTAAACATACAGAAGTCCCAGCTCACTGTAATGATCTTTTTTTCCCCCGCCCAGGGATACTGCAGGTCAGGAGCGATACCAGACAATCACTAAGCAGTACTACAGACGAGCCCAGGTAAAGCTATTTAATGTAATGAAAATGATACATCAATGGCACCTCTCTCCTGTTGGGAGAGCCAGAATGTACAAAGGTGCTAATAACCAGTGTTGGTTTTGGGACTCAACTTAGGCAGACTTTTTCCACATGTGGTGGGGCTGTGTTAGGGCTAAAAAAATTGGGAAATGTTGATAATAATGCAGGCAGAGGGGATAGACTATAATGTTATTGGCTCCCCTGAATTTTTTTTTACTGAACAACATAGTCTCTACCCCAAAGCAGTTTAGAACATTTTCCTAATATAACAGCTGCAGGGCTGGTATTCATTAAACTTTGGAAGCAGAAAAAAATACCAACACATAAAACTTTCTTGGATAAAATTAAATAATTTAATTGCATATAAAGTTGTTGGCATTACAAAAAAATGAAGATTTTACAAACATTGAACTTATTTGGTCATCTGCATTAAGTTGTACAGAACAAACAATGTGATTATATTTATTCATCTGACTTTAAAGACTAACAAAATTTGTGGCAGGGGAGGAGCTTTCGTGAGTCAGTGCTCCCTCCTTCAGATATCTGGACTCTTACTTTTTCCCTTTTGTCTGTCTTGAATCTCCACTCTTCAGCTTCAGTAGATGACCCCGAGTTGTAGTGTTATGGGAGAAGGAGAAAAATTTCTCCCTGTAAATGAAGCAGAAGTGAATGTTTTTCTGGTGCTCTCTTGCTTTCTCCATAATCCAGCGAATGTTGGCAATTTGATCTCTAGTTCCTCTACCTCTTCGAAACCCAGCTTGTACTTCTGGCAGTTCTCTATCCACGTACTGTTGAAGCCTAGCTTGTAGGATCTTGAGCATGACCTTGCTAGCGTGTGATATGAGTGCAATTGTGCGATAGTTTGAACATTCCTTGGCATTGCCCTTCTTTGGGATTGGAATGTATACTGACCTTTTCCAATCCTGTGGCTACTGTTGCATTTTCCAAATTTGCTGGCAAATTGAGTGCAGCACTTTAACAGCATCATCTTTTAAGACTTTGAATAGCTCAGCTGGAATACCATCACCTCCACTAACTTTGTTGTTAGTAATGCTTTCTAAGGCCCAATTAACTTCACATTCCAGGATGTCTGGCTTGAGGTCAGTGATTATACCGTTGTGGTTGTCAAGGACATCGAGGTCTTTCTTGTATAGTTCTTCTGTCTCCCCTTACTCACCTTTTTTCTAGGTTAGACAGCCCTAAGCATTTTAACTGATCCTCACGGGGCAGCTACTCCAGCCCCCCCGATACTTTTGGTTGCTCTTTTCTGTACTTTTTTATGCTCTACAATATCATATCCTCTTCCAAGTGCAGTGACCCAAACTGTACACAGTATTCCAAGTGTGGTCCCACCATAGATTTTTATAAGGACTGGCTGTCCTGCTTTACTTTATCCTCACTTTCCTTATGTGCCCAGTCCCCATAAATGCCTTTTCCACATTCTCATTTTTGTCACTTGTTTGTCCCTATTGCTTTGGGTTTCCTCCCCTTTTCCGCATGTGTTTTGCTGCCTCTGGGACTACTCGAGAGAGCAAAACACATTTGGGGGGAAAAACCCTGAAGCAACAGGGACACACCAGTGATGAAAATCAGAATGCGGAAGAGCCCTTAGAAGAGCCCTGGGATTCACCTCTTATACCATGAATCCTTCTTTTGGAACCCAGAGCTAAAATAAAAGGCAGTACTGAAATTGCTTCCATTTAATAGTTTGTGCGACCCTCATAGTGGGTAAATAGATTGGTCATTGAGTTAGTCTGGCTTAACATTGGTGGTGAAATGATCATGTTTCACTCCCCTTTCTTATGCACTGCTGCACATGCATTAACACACGGTTGGTGCTGACATCCATAATATCATGCTGCCTGTCACAGAAAGGAGGGAGGCTGTGGCTTCACTACCCATATGTTTCCCGGTTCTTCTGGCAGCCCTGTCCTCCATAAAGCCAGTTCTGAAGAGGCGACTTACGTTGCTTGAACCTGTAGTCGCAGTAGACACAGGCCTGGCTGCTTACCTCAAAAGGTGGGAACAGCAGAGTGGAGGGAATCTGCATCCTTCTCATAGAAAACAAGGGTGGGGGCTGGACTAGGCCTAGCGTTCCATTAAAACCTCTGTGACCTGCAAAGGTGGGGAAGAGGAGTCAGTCCTCCTGCGGACCGAATAGAAGCCGAGCTTCTGACTGTTTCCTAACTTCCCAGGTGCTGTTCCCTGGAAGAAAGCGCTGTAGATTCCTCCTCAGTCTGCTGCTCTGTATGACCTGCCTTGCCTACCAGTCTGCTGCCATTGCCTTTTGCTTTTGCTGAGGAGATTCAGTGAAGCACCACACACAGTCCTCGGCCCCCACTGGATTGCCTGAGTAGGGACACCCATCCCCAGAGCCTTGAGTGAAATGCCCTTACCCTTCTGTCTTCTGCCTGTTGCTGAAGGGTACGTGAGCTTTTCAGTTTGGGCTGAGCTCCCAGGATGGGAAGGCACCACACACGCTCCTTCCTTCTTGGTCACTGGAGTTAGTTCAGGGTTATCACCAGTGCCGCCAAGGGGCCTTTGTTAAATCTCCTCAGCGGGGACAGGGAGCTCTGGACAGGTGCCTGGGCCGGTGGCTGGCCGGCCCTCCTGAAGCACAGGCTTTGTGGCCACCCTATTAGACTGCTGTGCCATCTGCTCTGCTTACAGCTCAGTTTAAATCTGTTTTCATTATTTCATTATGGATGATTTTTATGAAGTGTTTTATTTCTTACTGTGAAATGTTTTACCTTTCGTTAAAGCCCGTTCACGGGGAGGGCGGAAAATAAATAAATAAATAAATAAGGTTGATCAAGTGATGCCCATTGGGACAAAAAAATCCCAGCTTCGAGGACAGGGCTCTTGGGGTCTGAGCTTGCTGAGGCCGAGAGGCCAAAAGAACTTGGGGTCAGAGCAGAGGGAGCTCAACGAGACTGCCAGCCCCCGTGTGCTGCTGTGGCAGGGAAAAAGATTAGAGTCCACACACTTCACCACTACTTTCGTTTCGTTAAAGCCCGTTCACGGGGAGGGTGGAATATAAGTATATAAATAAGGTTGATCAAGTGATGCCCGTTGGGACAAAAAATCCCAGCTTCAAGGACAGGGCTCTTGGGGTCTGAGCTTGCTGAGGCCGAGAGGCAAAAAGAACTTGGGGTCAGAGTGGAGGGAGCTCAACGAGACGGTCAGCCCACGTGTGCTGCTGCGGCAGGGAAAACGGCAAACTCTGTGTGAGGGTTTATTAAGAAAGGGGTTGAGAATAACACGGCTGATATTATAATGCCCCTGGATAGATCTGTGGTGCAGCCTCATTTGAAAGACTGTGTACAGTTCTGGCCGCCATATCTCAAAAAAGACACCGCAGAGCTGGAAAAGTACAGAGGAGGGCAACCAAGAGGATTTCCTATGCGGAAAAGCTGAAAGTCTGGGACTTCTCAATTTAGAAAAGAGACAGCTAAGAGGGGGGGGACACGCCCCACCCCCAAGAGCGGCCACCCACCCGGCCACCCCTCTCCTTTCCCTCCTGCCCAGTTTAACGGGTTTCAGCTGATCGGCGGGGACCACGTGGCCCGCCAACCAGCTGGAGGGCCCTTTAAATCTAGCAGGAGGGAGGGGGAGGGGTGGTTGCAGGCTGCGCGCTCAGACCGCAAGGAGACCTTTTAAAGGGTCTTTTTGCAAGCAGGGTCAGGGCTGCGGCACACGGGGCTGATTTCCCCCAGCCCCACGTGCCGTGGCCCCTACCTCACTCACAAAAGAAGACCCTTTAAAGGATCTTTTTGCGAGCCAAGCGGGCAGCCCATGACTGCCCCTCTCCCTCCCCTCCTGCTAGATTTAAAGGGCCCTACAGCTGGTCGGTGGGCCACGTGGTCCCCGCCGATCACACCCCTGGAACGCCCCCCAACCCCCCCCCAGCGGAGCAACGAGGGGACCTGGCAACCCACAGGAATAAGCAGCTTTAAAAGGGGATCAGATAGATTCATGGAGGATCGGTCTGTCAGTGGCTACTAGCCATGGTGATGACTGAGGCACCAATCCTCTGAATCCCAGAGCCAGGAGGCAGCATCAGGGGAAGGCCTCGGCCTTTGTGCCCTGTTGTTGTTGGCCCTCCAGGTTGGCCACTGTGTGAGACAGGATGCTGTACCATGGGTCTGATCCAGCAGGGCTTTTCTTATATCCTTAAGGTTTGGGCCAGCTCCGAGCACAAAGAGGAAAAGTTTCAGGTCAGAGGTAGTATTACTCTTATAATCCTGTGAGTCTATTTGGTATAGCCTCAGTCAGCATGCTGACCCCCCAGAACATGTGACCGGCACGGGATATGTGCTCTAATTTACACAGCGGAGAAAAATAGAGCTTTTTATAGGGCAGAAAACAGATGAGTAGTAGACCAGCTGCTGCTGTCTGCAGGGCAAATTTGGTCTATAGGTCACTGACTCCTGGAGACCCTCCTCCATAGGTGTGATATGATTGTTGTCTCCAGGTTCTAGCATTTTTTAAAATAAAAGGAGGAACCTGACCTATTGTTTCTGCAGGGAACCCAAAAATCTCAGCCAAGTCTCTAAGGTAAATCTGCTTTTTATATTATTTATATATAATAAATGAATAATGTATTCATTATTTATCATAGTAGCAGCTTGCTGTGGAAGAAATCCATAGGCACAACTGCAAAAAAGATTTGTTCAGTTTTGTAGCTCAAGGTCACATTTGATGAATCTTCATTGAGCTGGGTCTATACGGAGGAAGAGGCATTGTCTGACCTCACAAGCTTGTTGGAGCCAGAATGTTCCAGTCTTGTTTAATTAGAAACACTGACCAGATTTGTAAAAGACAGAAGACAAAGGAATAATCCTCAAGTGTCCAGCCCACAATTCTCACTATCACTTCTGAAGGAAGTTGTATAGGGCAGGCCATATAAAACTAATTTTGTTTGAGGCGTTTGAGGTAAAGTGGTTGACTCTTCAGTCACGTGGCATCAGCTCCTGTCATCATACCTCCTTTGCCTTGTTCTCTCCACAGGGAATATTCTTGGTGTATGACATTAGCAGTGAGCGTTCCTACCAGCATATAATGAAATGGGCCAGTGATGTGGATGAGGTAAGTGGAAGTTGCCTTCCTCCTTTCTCAGTGGCTGGGGGACGTGAGAGAGGGTCATTTTCATCCAGCTGGAAGCACACTGGGCCTTTCTACCCTGCCATTCAGCTTGGTAAGGCTGGTTCATAAAGAAAGCCGTATACCTTTGATCTGGCAGGTGAACGGTCAGCTGGATGATTCGGCAGGGAAGTCGGGCTCTTTGCAGCACATTGTTTTGGCACATTCTGTATCCGTGTTTCCAGTTAAAGGACTTGCTTCTGGGTAGACTCTGTCATGTTTAATGAGTGCAGCTACTTAGGAAAAAACGGATTTGTTCTATATCTATTTCTTGGGCCGTTGTTCCTGGCGTAAGTGACTCATGGGAATAGGCTTTCAGGTGGTACCTTTGTGCTCTTGCACATATAAGGTGCCGAATATTGGGAAATTGTGCGGGTAGTTCCTTACATTCTGCTGCAGTTGGATATAGAGTCTTGCATTGTTTTTGCAGTGAGTTTACAGGGAAAATGGGTAGGAAAGATGCAAGTCTGGAATGAAGAAGATGATATGGGCCAAACCTGAGGAAATGGCTAAGATGATGTTCATGTGGCCCACACTGATTTGGGGGAAGGCTTTCTAGAGACCAGGTATTATTGGCTGTAGTCACCCTGCTGTAATAGCTGTGGAAGACGAAGAATATCAGAAGGTGCAGCTTTGTCTTTGGTTGTGCTGCAGTTATGTGAGAAATGTTCTCCCTGTGGTGAAACTGGTAAAGACACAGGGATCCTGTCCCATGTAAGCCTCTGGCAATCCTAAATTTGGATAGAGCCTCATGCAGCTGCCTGGGAACCCTGTGTGGACTGGGAACAGATCAAGTTTCTCTCCTTTTCTCCAGTATGCTCCCGATGGTGTCCAGAAGATCCTCATTGGCAATAAAGCAGATGAGGAAGAAAAGAGGCAAGTCCACAGAGAGCAAGGCCTTCAGGTAAATCCCTTGAATCAGCCACAGTCGTCCTCCATAAGGGCCTATCTGCAAAATAACATGCAATGATAGAACCTGGTTTTTTTTACTGTGCCACTCCAGAAAAGGGGAGGTTCCCATAACTGAATGTTCCTCTGTTTTTTTTAATCCCTCCATGCAGAAAACTGGATGGTGGGAAGATGCTGTTGTAAGAACACCAAAAGCAATCTGGAGTGTTTCAGTGCTTACCAGGGAACTAATTGTCCCTCCTCCTTGCACGCACACACACACACACACACACACATGTACGTTAAAAAAAAATAACCAACAGGAAGGTCAAAAGCAAAAAAAAATTCAACTGGTATAATCTGAAACATTCAAACATTTACAGTGCAACCCAGGAGCACTTTCACAGGAGTAACCCCCATTAAACAGGACTTACCCCTGAGTAGACCTTCTTACGATTGCTTTCTTAGTGTATTTTTCAGATTAGCTGCCTGCCTCCATAAACTTTGAGATGATAATGCAGCACTGTTTTCTGCCTGAAGAAAGTATGCATGTTACTGAATCATAGTGCTAAAAAACTGCAAAAAAAAAAATTGTTTCCATTCCTTCATGCCACCAATACTAATTCTACAAGATAAATATGGTCAAACACGACCCCATCAGAAAATAAGTATAAAGACAACAGTCGTGAGAGTCTGACCCACAAATCAAGCCGTCACCAAGACTCGCAAGAAAAAGCTTCCTATGTGTTACAATCTAAAGCACTACAACATCATTAATACATCATAAGAAAATCCTTGTGCATAGGGACATAATCGTCGTCGTCTCCGGATTATATAACAATGTTTCAGAATTGGATCTTCCTCAAGATATATTAGAGTAGTACAAAAGCTCTCTTTTTCATAAAATGCTTGACAACAAGTCATAAGGAATACTACATTCAGATAGGACGCTCAGGCTCAAATATGCTGCTAAGTTTCTAATGGACTGCTCTTTTCCTGTTCAATAGCCTGTTGGTGGTGCTTATTAAAACTAGTGGAGTATTAGGGCATTGCTCCATAGCCTGGGGTTTTTTTTCCTAGTCTTCATCATTGCTCACTCATACACAGACATTGAGCAAGAGATGATATCAAGGAACAAGCTGCCTTCACTGTCCGTGGGCAGATTGGAGGTGTGGGAAAGGTAGCATATTCCCACGTTCCGGAGTCCGTGGGTGCCTGACTGCTGCCTCCTAACCTTCTCTCCTTGTGAAAGAGCCAGACTAGTGTAGGGGACAGGGTGCTAGACAGGGGTCTGGGAGACCCAGATTCAGAGGTTTACTTAGCTGTGATATTGTTACACGGATTGCCTAGGGCAAGGGTTCTTTATACTCTATGAATATGAGGGTCAAATTGGGAGAGATACCAGTGGAAGGAAGAGCCCTTTTGATTAAATAAATGGAGTTTTTATTGTAAATAAATGCAAAGCTCACACTCACTCATAAAAACAACAACAACAGATCAACACACATAGAGTTAGGAAACAGAGAAGTGATCAACAGTGACAAGAAGGGGGTTGGTTTTAGATTAGGGTAATATTCACCCAATCCTGGAGTCTGGAATCCACATGGAAGAAGGAGGACATGGCCGACCAGCAGTTCATGTCAAAGGCTCAGACAGAGTCTGAGGGTACACTCTTATCGGCCCCAAGAACTGTACGAAAATTAAGGCGCGGAGTGCCAGTTTAAATGTGGTTTGGAGAGGCGGGGTGGGCTGGCCCAGGGTGTAATGAGTAGCCAGATTAAAATTGAGTAGTGCAGGATTCTTGGTTTCACCAGTGTTTGTCTTTTTACACGTCATTGGCTTGCTTATTGGGGGAAGGCTGCTAGACTCTGGAAATTACTTCGAGGAGACAGTTCAGTTTACTTAGATTGGTGCCTGGGTCAGAGAAGATGGGATTTAAGGATTAGTACATTGATGACGATATTTGTTAATTATTGGCTGATCATGAGGTCCTATATACGTACTCGCTCTACTGGACTCGGTTCCTCCTGATCTAGCTTGGCTGGCTGGTTCAAAATGGACTCTCTTCTGGCTCCCTGTTGCCTGCCCTTGCCAGACCAATATGAGGTGTGAGACCCTGGCCTTATTTGCCTTTCTGACTGCCGGGTCCCTCTGAGTTTCCCAGAGAGAGAGAGAGTTTAGCACAGGTACCTCTGGGGAGGTAACAGTGTTTGCTGAATAACCTTGGGCCAGTCACTCTCGTTCAGCCGAATAGATCTCACCTGGTGGTTGCGAGGATAAGACAGAAGGAGAGAGAATGAAGGCAGCAGGACAACAACAATAAATACTAAACTACTACATTATAAACGATAGCACAGTCAAGCATACCAACAAAAACTCTTGATGAGTCAGATAAAGATTTGTGGATTTCACTAAAAGTGGTTTGTTTCACCACAGAGGAAACAATGAATGAACTGTGCATATTTTTGTATCAGTTTATACCCTGGTGTGAATATAAGGTATCCAACCTTTCGATTTATTGTAATAAAAATCCCTCTTCATGTGTGGCATATATTTAATTATTCCTCACATACATAATGATGGCAATCAAACTTTTGGATTTCTAGATCACACTTGAATTGCAGGTTTTAAAATGAGAATCATCTCTGTGTTATATCAGCCATGGGGAAAGCAGTAGGGCAGATAGGTTGGAAGAATTTGGAGTAATATATGAGTATTCAATGCCTTTATGCAGAACCCTGTAAGTGCTTCTGTTTTCCAGCTGGCTGAGGAATATGGCATGGATTTCTACGAAACAAGTGCCTGCACCAATTTAAACATCAAAGAGGTAAGGACCTCAGATATATATATTTTCTGTAAGATGGAGGCAGGGCTGTGCATATTAGAGAAGAAGAAGAGAAGAGAAGAGATTGGATTTATACCCCCCCCCTTCACTACTCAAAGGTGTCTCAGAGCGGCTCACCAACTCCTTTCCCTTCCCCTCCCAACAACAGACACCCTGTGAGGTAGGTGGGGCTGAGAGAGCTCTGACAGAGACGGCTCTTTTTCAAGAACAGCTCTTATCAGAACTACGGCTTGCCCAAGGTCATCCAGCCAGGTGGAGGTGGAGGAGTGGGGAATCAAACCCAGTCCTCCCAGATTAGAGTCCGCGCACTTAATCACTACACCAAACTTTTTTGTTTAAGAAGGCCAGATGCTAGAACCCAAATTAATTAGAATGGAAATCTTAATTCTTTTTTTTAAGCCCCCGGAGGGGATTTTTTTATTTTTTTAATATAATACTACATAAACTACCAAGAAAAAATAGGGATAGGGGGACTACACTTAGGGAGAAAGAAAAGATAACCCACAGTAAGTTAAAAACCCAAGGTTAGGAGATCATTCCCTGTTAAAATGCTGTTAGTTAAAAAAAGGCTGTTCATAAACAATATACTTTGTGAGGTCCTGTCTTTCTAAGCTTATATGTTAGATTGTTACTTGTTATGAGAAGATTTCCCGAGCATCTCCTCCAGCTCGCTTCATAAAGGCAATTTGCAAAGTCCTTCCGCCTTTACATCTATACTAAAACTATCTAAATTCTTGATAGCTTCTTAGACGTTCAATGCAGCTCAATCTTCTTCCATCCAAAGGAATAGAACTGCTAGTCTTAAGCCTCTTCCGCTCTGGTCTGGGGGTCCAGTGGCTTCTCAAAGGTTTCTTGATTATGAAGGGCACCTCCAGCTCAAGATGACACTTTCTAAGAACACTCACAGGGAAGAAGTTAAATCCTTGTAAATTTTTCCTGTTTCTCTTGTACTTTTTCTTCTTTTCTCATTGAGATCGCTGCTTAGTTTAGTGTCCATCTCATTCACTTTGAGAGCCCTCAATTCCATTTTTTCTCCGATCGCCTCCTGGAGCTGCCGAGACACAAATTGTTGATTTATCTTGGCAAGCTGCTGGTTAATACCAATAAGTTGCTTCAAGATTGGCTTGATGGCTTCTGCTACTAGTACAGTGACGTCAACTTCCCTTCTTCTCCTCAGAGTTTTTGCCATCTTTTTTAGAGTATCTGCCATTTCAACGTTTTATTTTCAATAAAGTCTCTCTCTTCCTGGCTCGACAAATCGCATATGCTGTTAAAAGCTCATGGAAATCTCCCACAACAGGCTTACACGCTTGCAAATAAAGTCTTTCAGAAGTATCCATTTACAACTGTCTCCCTCTCTCCCCCTCCCCCTCCCCTCTTCCGTTTATGTAAACGCGTAAAAGAGGCACCCCCCCCTCCAATCACTTAAGGGGTTTCGGGGGGGGATTTCGCTTCAAGTATCCGTTTACAATCGTTTCTCTCTCCCTCCCCCTCCTTGTTTATGTAAATGCATTGAGAGGCGTCCCTCTCTCAGCATGTTATCGCTCAGAAAGTTTTTCCTTTGTGGGGGAGGGGATTTTCTCTTCTGAAGACAAATTGCTCATTTTCACTCACAGTTCGCTCCTTAACTCACAGTTCATTAGTGGTCTTTATCTTGGCCACGCTCTTATTGCTCCTCCGCTAGATCTCCTGCGCTTGATCGGGTCGACACAGCTTGTGGCCTCGCTAAGAGGACGCAGTCAGCGAGAGGGACCGTCAGGGCGGAGGGGAGCCTCCATCTCCCTGCCGTTAGCAGGAAAAGAGGCTCACCCTCAAAAGCCCTATGGCTTGGGAGTTCTCCCTGAATTCCCGTGGGGGTGCCGAACCAGCGGCACCTCTCCCCCTTGCTGCTGTGCGGTACGCCTCCCCAGAGAGCTGGGAAAGGCGTCCGCCATCACTGTGTCGTAGACCCCACCTCCGGAAATCTTAATTCTCCTGGGAGTCCTCGCTGATAGCTGTTTGATTTGTTAGAATATATAAACCCTGGCTTTCTTTTTAAGAATAAACACTCATGGCAGCTTACAATATTAAAATTCATATAAAACATTTTAAAATAGCTAGTAGCAATTAAAACATATAAATTTTGTTGTTGTTGTTCAGTCGCACAGTCGAGTCCGACTCTTTGCGACCCCATGGATCATCTCCCGCCAGGCCCTCCTGTCTTCCGCCGTCCTCTGAAGTTGACTCAATTTCATGTTCGTTGCATCGATGACACTGTCTAACCATCTCATCCTTTGCCGTCCCCGTCTTGATACCAGGGAGCAATTTCACTATTTAAAAAAGCCTTTCAGAATAAGCGTTTTCAGCTAATGCGGGAAAGCCACTGAAGAAGGAACCATCTGCTGTCCAAGGAGAAGGGAGTTCTGAAGAGCAGGGATGTCTGCTGAGAAAGATCTTTGTACAGGTCCCCACGGATTGGATTTCTCCAACAGAGATCCCATGATAAAGGTCCCTTTGCCACCCTTGGTGCATGAGTCTGCATGGAGGTGGTCTACCTAGGCATTTATTTATTTATCTATTTATTTATTGTTTCAACTTTTACCCCGCCCTCCCCACCGAAGCAGGCTCAGGCAGCTTACATAAAAACCAATAAAACAAGATACATATCACAATAAAAATACATAAAACATAACATGAGACCATTAATATATCAATGGTGGTACAGTATGATCAAGTACATTCATGCATACGATCAGCGGTGGATACCATTCTAGGTAGCTTCTAGCTCTAGGTTGGCACAGGGCTTAGCGGATAAAGTGCAGCTCCTATTGAAATGCCTGCCGGAAAAGCTCCGTTTTCATGGCCCTGCGGAACTGTGAGAGGTCCCGCAGGGCCCTGATTTCGCCAGGGAGCTCGTTCCAGCAGGTCGGAGCTGCCAGTGAAAACGCCCTGGTCCTGGCCAATGTCAGCCTAGCGTCCTTTGGACCAGGGAGGGCCAAGCAGTTTTGTGATCCTGATCTCAGGGCTCTCTGGGGAATATGCGGGGAGAGGCGGTCCCTCATGCGGTTCCACTTGATCCAATACTATCTTTGAGTAATCTGAGATGATGAGCAAAAGAATGTACTGGAAGATCTCTGGGATATCCTGTGATTTCTAGCAACCAATAGCTACTCCACTTTTGGGAGGAAAAGCAAAGTTAATATATTGCAAAGTGGTGTGTTTTTTTTAGTCTACACTCAGCCTCTCACCATGCACATTTTAAATGTGAAATGTCAAGGCTGAAAGTGTTTTTTTAGAGGTGATCTATTTTTAAAAAATACGTGTTTAATATTAATGGTTGACGTGTGCATGATTTAGCAGTTGATTTCAATAGAAATAGCTAAGCATGTTTAATTCTTCCACTGAAATCAATGGAACTAAAAAAGTGCTTGATCTTGGATCGTGTATGTAGGAAGCTAGAGAAAAATAAATATAATTAATGATACTCACCTGTTAATGACGTAACATGACCAAGGGGGAATCTGCAGCCCTTTTGTTTTCTGTTTAGAAAGTTAAAATAGTCACAAGAACTGTAGAGAATGTTCTTGAAGCCTAGAGGCACCTTCTATAATCCAAATAGCATAATTAGATCATGTTGAAGGTGCCATGTAAATCAAGATTGTAAATAGATCCTCATCTGCAGTAAAAAGAAACTGTCTCCAGACATCCAGGCATGCAAGCTACAGTGGAAACTTGCTTTTTACTTATTATTTCAGGCTTTCAGTACACCAGAAATGTTTTTAAAAGTTGTGTAGACAGGCACATATTGTGGACTTGTTTGCAAGAGTGATGTGAACTTAAGCATCAGCAGTTGTGCACACTGCAGAAGGTACAGCTGTCCCTCTGCCTGTGTTTCCTCCTGTAGTCTTTCACTCGTCTGACAGAGCTGGTTCTGCAGGCCCATAAGAAGGAGTTGGACGGACTCCGCACATATGCAGCTGATGAACTGAACCTGGTTGAGCTGGAAGAAGGGACAAGCAAGCCAGACGGCACAGAGCATTCTCCCAAGACCTGTTGGTGCTGAAACCCTCCCAGTGCATGTGTGCACGTGTTCTCTCTCTCTCTCTCTCTCTAACTCCCCTGTGCAGGTAGAAAGGCTGCCGCCTAGAGAGGATTGGCTTGCTCTGCTCCATCCTTCTGGTTTTTGGTTGCCTGCCTGCTTGCCATCTGCCCTGCTGGATCCTCTCTGGATTCCCTGGTGTTTCTCTTTGGTGATTTCTGTTGTCCCCAAAACTCCCTGGATCCAAATTCCTTCAGATGGCTCACAATGTGCAGAACCTCACCCTGTCGTATGCATGGAAGGGCTGTGGTTTACAGTCACAGCTGGGACCCATTCGAAAGTCTTTAAGGCCTCCGGTGATCTTGCTCTCTCAGACTGGGCAAGGGGAGCCCTTTGGGTTCTGCACCAGCACAGGGCCCGACCCGGCCCAGCCCAGCCTCTCCGAACAGGTTCCCTCAGTGAGGACAATGCGAACTATTGTCCAGGCAAGCCGTGTGCTGAGGCACCTCTAGCAGGACTGCAGATGGCTTATTGAGTCTTTCCCCGGCATACTTTGCCATTTCAGTATCTGACCTAATGTTTGTGCAACACTGTGGAGCATATTCTGGCAGATCCTGAGCCACTGGCGAGAAGGCTTCAAGGCTCTCTCAAAGGCAGTAGCTGTACCTGGTTCATACTTGGCTGCCCAGAGTTTCCTATCTCAAAATACTTTTCCCATTTAAGGAATAAGGACTTCTTCCAAAGTGTCAGGTAGCCCTGTTGCCCCCTGCTAGATATAAGAGCCAAGAGCATTGGATGTCTAGCCCCACTGAGAACGGGATGTACAGTGAAATGCAGGGCTATAATTTCAAGTGGCGTAGGCCACGGAGGGTATGGCTGGCTGCTTCTGAGCCAGATCAGACTGCGTTCCTTAGAGCCTCCATATTGTTAGGTGAGTAGGAAAAGCCCTGGCTTGTGGCAGGCT